AGCGGGGGCGGGGAGCGGGGCGTCGGCCCGGGGGAGGGGGGTGGAGACGTCGAACCCTTGTTCTGTAGCATCTGCCGCTGGGTCTCTCGTAGATTCGCGAGGAAATCTGCTGGAGAAAAATTGCGGTTAATCAAACAGTTCTTAGATAAAACTGATCTCATAAAAGACTGAGAATTTATACTAAACTAAATTGAAAATATATAGTACTTTTATTTTACTTGAATAATGATTGAGTAATAATGATATATATACTGACCAGGTGGGTGATGATGCAGCGGAGGTCCCGGCCGCAGGGCGGCGCGCACTCGTCCGCCGCCGCTGCCGCGACTACTGCCACTGGCCGTGCCCACACTCTGTGGGGACGACAAGTGTTTTGTTAATAATGTTGAACAGGTTCAACAAGGGATTATTGGAAGTCTCATCAATTTTTATTTACAAGCAATTTATGGAATGGTCAACTTGAACAAAACAGGCGATTTTATGGTTCTTGATTTCACTTTTGAATTATTATCAATTTAAGTAATATTTAACGCAGGTATGCTCACCATTTCATCAGGTTGTCTCATGGCGTCGTCCTGCAGTCTGACGGCGAGGTCGCTGAGTGAGTCGGTGTCATCATCGACATCGCGGGGCTCCGCTGTAGTGGCGCGGTACTCGCCGTTCTCTGATACTTCCACTATTTGGAGACGAGAGCCGTCTAGTTCCTAGAAACAAAGGAGGTATTGTTAAATATTTTTACTTCGGTTTTGTATAGAAAAGAACGGATTATTAAAATGATTTTCGTAAAATAAGGTTTGAATAGTTTATTAACGTGTATTATTTCTAGGATGGTCTATTGGTTTCTGTTAAGTATCTCCTTGTAAGGGAACGATGCGCACGCCAATTAAACTCGCTAGTTAGTTGCACACTGGTTTATTTTATCTAAACTTCATAGCGGAGCGGGGAAGCGGGGCGCAGCCCGCATTCTACCTTTGCATCTATACATACATACATAACAGTTTCGAACAACATTGGGGCTGTTAATCATGACCTACGTAAGAGTTAGGACTTTGATGTGACTCAAAACTGGTCATGACTAAGTTTTTAACTGATATTTACTACTGAAAGGACAAATTCACACAACAACAAGAAATAAAAACCCAGGGAAACATACCTGCATAAGCGTATCAGGATGCAGAACCCTTCCATCCCTCAGCACGACCCTGGTGGGGTGTGGCGCGGCGTACTTGGCGAGCACGGGGCGCAGCACGTGGCGCAGCCGGCGCGCCGGGCCGCAGCGGACGGCCACGCCGCGCGCGCCCAGCTCCAGCCGCACCACGCAGCGCCGCTCCACCACCGCCTCGCGCCCGCACAGCACCGACGACGGGGACGACAGCTCCACCGTGCTCGATGTACCCTGCACAACGAACTGGGGTTTAATGGGTGTTGCGGCATGTTAAGAAGAATAGAAAACATGGACAGTGTCTTTGCAGATACATGACATTATTTCTCTTTCAAATCAAGTCTAAGTAAATTAAAAATTGTCTCAAATTGTTTCCGTTATAAGATACCTTGTCCTGTAGTCTCTTTGTACTCCAAAAACGGTGGAAAATTCGTAAAGAAGACAGAAGGCTGGCAATGTACCTACTTGTGACTATCTAGTAGTGAGTGTCCATGGCTTAACACTTAACATATGTCTGATCAATCTAATCATTTGCCTCAAATCCTATAAAAAAATATTTGTTCCTTACCTGACTAGCATCCTTAAGCAGTACATCATAGTTGGCACAGGGCAGGTTCCTCCTCAGCAGTAGTCGGTCCACCAGTCGCCGTACTGTCGTGGAGTCCTCCACTCCCACCACGGACGTGGCGCCATCTGGTAGTACCACGCGACATAGGCTCTGCCCAGGAACTGATTGGCTAGATTTCACCACCTGGTGACAATGGAAAAATATTATTAATGTTTTGTTATTTAATTTGTAGGTGTAACTGTAGAGATGGGTAAAGTAAAATTAGTAAGCTTTGTATTCGATTTATATTCGTAACACAAAACTAGCTAGAACTGGGTGCAAAACACAAATATACCATCATTAGAGGTTAACTAATAATGCCACTGGCTAGCAAAACAATGACAGTACAGTAAAAGTAAAATCTTCCACATAAATAACCGCACACAATAAATAAACTGAAGCAAACTCAAACAGTACATTAGAAATAAATTTAGAATGGAACTCTGTACACAATTACCTACATTTATTGATAAATAAACACGTTATATACTTCTATATACTTGTGTGTACAAATATTGTTCGGTACCTAAGTAAAACGTATTTGATATTTGCGCATTCGTGACTCGTTAGTTAGGAAAACTTTGTGCGCGCTCATCATGAACCCATAACGCTTGATTTATATTACAGATGATTATTAGTTTTCTATATCTGTTCAGAAGGGTGATAATGGTGTTATTTTGCTGTTCAACTAAGATCTTGTGCTGTCATGATTCATATAAATTTATGTGAATAGAAAAATATGATAAAAGCTTGTCATCACGAAAAGGAAATTGAATGTTCAGTCATAAAAGCTAAGATCTGCTTTTCATTGCACTACATACTTATAACTAAGTAATAAAATAACCATGATAATGTCAATTTTCTATTAACTTATGTCAGTAAATTTAATAACTTATCTAATGTTAACAATATCTATCCACCTAATATTTATAGTTCAACAATATTTGTCTTATGAGTTGCCATTTTTATTGTCTTACAATACTGTTGTACGATGAGTAGACAGAATATTATGAGAAATTACGTTATTATTTGTACAATTACTAATACTAATAATAGTTGTGAGCACAGAGGGCCAATATTTGCTTTGTATAGTGATAGTGTCGTGTTTTTCCGTGCATACAACATGGTGTGTTTCTGTGCATATTTGAGCGTCGTGATCTATTCAATTGTTTCTTAGAGTAAAACTAGTTGAAACTGGTTATCTATTAACATCTCAATAGATGTTTTGCTAATTAGAAGTGAAGGAAAATTATCATAATTATTGTTATTTCAATATTTGCTCATGCAAGAGTTTTGTATTGCATTCTTCCTTAGCTATAATTTTCCGATTTAATAATAATTTAATTACTCTTTAGGAACTTCGTTCGATTCTGACACCAATATTTTTTAATAATTTTCCTTGTGTAGTGATTCAAATGACTAAACATTTATTTGCTTATCAGTTTTATTGCAGTTTTATATTGAACTACTGAAAGGATTATTATGCGGTTTTGATAATGATTAGGTGATTTTATTATAATTATATTTAGGTTGACTGCTTCGTTGGCCGAGTGGTCGCAAGTGCGACTGCCAGGCAAGGGGTCTCGGGTTCGATTCCCGGGTCGGGCAAAGTATTACTTTTTAAAAATTCTCAGTAGTAGCACGGAGTCTGGAATTGTACCCGGTATATGGCAATAGGGTCACCTCCTTTTACACGGGACTCATAACATAAATAGTGAAAAGTGGGTGTTACTGTGTACAGTGCCATAATGTGCACCTCTGCCCACCCCTTCGGGAATAAAATGCATGATGTTATGTTTGTTATATTTAGGTACAATTCATATAACATGGATAATAATGTAGGTCTATATTGGGGCATTAACTCGTCTTTGTTGGCGGTTGCCAATGTAATATAGAGAATTGTTATTTAGAGTCATCATCATCATCATCAACAGCCTATAAATGCCCACTGCTGAGCAAAGCCTCTTCTCACACGGAGAAGGTTAGAGCGTTAATCACCACGCTTGCTCAATGCGGGTTGGTGATTTCAAACTTATAATTAGAAATTATAAGTCCAGGTTTCCTCACGATGTTTTTCCTTCACCGTTTGTCAGTGGTGTCTAAATAATCTTAGAAAGTACATATAACTCGGAAAAAGTCACATTGGTACTTGCTGTTGGTAGGTTTCGAACCCGCACCCTCATGCATGAGAAGTGGGCGTCTTAAACCTCCGGGCCACCACGACGACATTTAGACGCAGATTTTTACGACGTTATTTAGAGTATATTTTCCGAATTAAATCGAGTGTAGTGTAGATTAGAGTACAATTTATATTTTACGAACTACTATCGGGCGATTTCATTCGCTGTTTAGCTCCTTTTGATCGAAACGCAATGTTTTATAACCTACGTCATTTCTCATCCCTTCATCTATCTCCACTTAAACTGTCAAACACCAAGCGGTCACCGGTGACCGCAACCTATTGTTCTATAATTGTGTCTACAAAACCGGTACTCGACGAGTTAAAACATCACGTCATTAATCTCCGTTTCCTGCCGCGAAAGACGAACAAACAAACAGACAGACACTTTTACATGTATATATAATAATATAAAGTCGGACGTACGTCAGTGACGGGCGGAGTGTCGCGGTGCGGCCCGTTGGCCCGCTCGCGTCCGCCGCGCGTCTTCCACGGCAGCAGCGAGCCGCCGCCGCTGCGACGTCGCTCGGACGCATTGCTATCTGACTTCTTTAACTGTAAAGAAGTAAAAGGTTTGTTACTTGAAAACTATGTACTAAAGCTTTTAATCTAGTTACCGTCTGATGAATTGTAAGTAAACTTGAATAAAAATTGGTTTGCAGTAGTGGCAAGAAATTTAAAATCCCTTAATCTAAAGTATTTAGAATTCAAAATTGTTCAACTTATTCATAAAAAACGAATATATTTAATATCTATTTTACCTTAGTAGGTTCAGCATTATTATCCCTGGCGGGGGCGTAAGGTTGCGGCAGTCCGCGCAGGTCTGCGCGGGCGCACTCCGCGTGTATACCGGAGCGGAGGAAGCGAGGGTAGCTGTCAAACTTCATCACGTTGAAGATCTGCTTCTGAGCCTGAGAAACAAATACATATCTGTTAATACATACACAAAATCTCATGTAACTACCGAATGGAGGTCGAAGTTAAAGTCATGCTTATTTTATTAAAGATAGAAAAGATTGCTACAAAAAACGGGTTCTCAGGCTTCCGCCAAATGATAGTATGCTAGACATGTATTAGTAATAGTAACTTATAACACGGTTGCTAAATCAACAGCAATTGCAATTACCTCGTAAAATTTTAACGGCCATATTAATTGATGTGATCAATCAAACATTTCACGCATCTATAGTGTTTATAGATTGCGTAAATGCACATTGCATGATAAATCGATTTTTGATGTTATCAGAGAATAATACTTGAAAAACTAAAATCTGACAAAGAAGTAGGTAATATTGTCATCTGATTTGTTCTTTTTATCTTTTCAGGTATGACCCCCTTGGAAATGAAGTGATATGAGGAAAAAGGAAAGGTAGACGAGAAAGTATTTGTGTGACCAGATTGTGTACGGGTATTTGAACTTCATCTGACTTTGAGAATAGGTTGGCAACTACATTATGATGCATTTAGAGATACAATCTACAAGTATTCGATGATTGATTACGTTTTGTTAACAGGATCTTACTAGATATGCTATAATTTTGTTATTTGTTGTAAAGTACTTAAATTGCACTCGTTTTGCGCAAGACATGCTATTGTTTGAAATGTAAAGGAGGGCAAATTATTATCGACATGGCATATTGATCATGTTATTGTTATTAATCAGAATTTGGACATGAAAATCTTTGCCATCCTCCGGAACTCGAGATATCGAGGTCGAAAATCGTCTTGTTTTGAGACTAAAGTTCTATTTTGATGTTCTAAAGTACATAAAAATAAATGTTTCAACTTGAGATTTAAAGCTAGAAGAAAGAAATATGTTCCTAAGTACCTGTTGGAAGAGCTCGGCTGGTGGTGGATGTGTCTCCAACATAAGTTTGGCGGCGCGGCGGGCGGCCGCGTCCACGTTGACGGGCTCCGGCGCCTTGTCCGCCAGGTGGCGCTGCCAGATCTCAGCTGCCAGTGCACCGCGACGTTCTGGCTCTGATATAGCGCTGTACTGCTCACATGACCACCAGAAACTGTAGGAGAGAAGCAAAACTTTAGTTTAAGTTTCAGTGGCTTCTAAGACACAAGATTGCTTATTTAGTTTTGAATCTACACTTTCTATACAATAAATATAAACTTAATGCATTTTGAATAATTATTTTTACAATTGAAAATGAAGAAGCTGACAGTCTATCAAAGAAAGAAAGCTATAATCCCATTATTCTATAGCATAAACTTACTATCACATCCACTGCTATCCCACTTAAAACCCCTCTAGATGGAGACCTGTATCAGAAATAGGGTCTCACCGTATGTTTTCAGCGGCGAACTCCTTGGCGAGGAAGTGCGCGAAAGCTTCGAACCCTGCAGGGTCTGCTAGCAGGTGCTCCAGCCCCAGAGACCAGCGCGACACGTTGGAGCCGCCGCCGTTTGTGGTCGCCACTGGCGCTGCACCCTCGCTCATTTGCTGTTCACATATAAAAATTAGGTGAGACAAATTGTGACAGATGAAGATACATAATATGATGGAAACTGAGAGTGTACACCCAACAAAGACGCATGTTAAAGATGCAAATACATTTATTTATACAACTCATACGATTGGGAAAACTTCTAGTTATTAGGTATCTACCTAATGTTAGGTTGTAATTGAAATATCAACGCAATTGTCCATGTAATAAAGTTTACCTTATTATACATATTGCGGTGTTCGTGGTGGCGGTAGGAGCTGCCTGCGCCGCTGCCCGTGGTCCAGCGACGGAATGGCGAGGATTGCTCGCTCTGTGGACAAAGAAAATATCATAAATTAATATCATATCTATAAATGACATCAAGACTTAATGTTTAATTTAGAATATATCGACAAATTGTATATTACAACATAATATTTCGTTATTAAAATGTCGATAAAACATCGCCTAAACAACAAAGCACTTATGGTTGTAATAATACCGATATTATTATGATAAAAGCAATAGAATTAAATAATCTATACACGCTGTATTACTGTCCAATATAATGTACATGTACACTGTAAAACAATGACTGGAACAAATTGTTGATTGAACGATTTACAACTTGAGAATGAGAGAATATAATGCCAGTCTGAAACTACGTAATTCCAAAAGCGACCGCAGCGCCTTTTTGATGGAACTAACTACGCAAATATAATTTGTTGTTACTGAAGGGACGTTCTTTAGTATCGTCGAAAAATTATTTTTTTTTAAATACGTTTTCGACTTCTCGTAGGCTTTTATACAACCGTTTAAATAAAAAAAAACTCTGAATATATTTCGCACAAATACAAGACGTATTGCATTGAATAATTAAGTGGTGGATTAGCATAGATAAATAAACACGAGACTTTGATTAACATAATAAACATTCGATATCGAGATAGTTCGTTATGGTTTACGGACGAGACAGAAGGTAGGTACAAATCCATAGACTTGGGTATCTTTCAAATTATGTATATTTTTTTGCAAATCTTCTATCTTCTATATAAATAAAAATGATTTTCTGTTCGTTAGTCTCGCTAAAACTCGATAACGGCTGAACTGATTTGGCTAATTTTGTTCTTGATAGGTTCGTGGAAGTCTAGGGAAGGTTTAAAAGGTGAGAAAAAACTTTTAGGCGGTACGAAGTTTACCGGGTCAGCTAGTGATGAATAATTATTAAAGCCATTTATCATTGAATAAGCCTTTTGAAAATTTGACAGTATTTTGTCATACGAATACTACGAACACAAGACGATTTGATTCGATCGTGATACAAGTTACAATTAGGTAAGTACCTGAATTTAAAGTCCCATAACTACTTATATGGTGAAACCACAAAGTAAAATGCATACATTTACCTAAATTACTAACAAAATAAGCATAACGTAATATTACAGTGTGATAAATAAACAATACATGTCGGGAGTTACAACAGGTAAACAACATGACACAAAGGTGGCACCATTACAGTCGAATCAGACCACAGAAATAGGCTTAAATGAGGATATTATTCGAGAATTTTCCTTCAACCTGCACAACTTGTTACAACAAATACATAAAGCTTAGCTTCATAATATTTAAAATACTTTGGTGTGTAATTACCTAATCCTTGTAAGTACCATTCACTTAGTATTTTAACTTTGAATTTGACCACAATAATGTAAAAACGAGCACAAATAACTGTGGTCTGCTGAAGTCACAAGGAAAACTATGTCATTCATAAAAAGAGGTGAAGTAAGTATACAGTCATTGCTTTTCATATTTATTGATAGCGACAGGGTTGGCCGAACACAAGAACCTCAACATTATTCAGGTTGTTTGTATATTGTACTAAAGGATAAAAAGTTGTAATATTTAACGGTAAACACAATGCCTTTTCACTTTAATTTCAGTATAGGTAAAGTACATTTTCCTGTGATTTCGAGTCAGAAGCTTAAAATTACGATCTACACTACAAAGTATTGGTAAAACAATTCGCTATTGTATTCTCTGAAACAGTTAAACCGATTTGGATGAAATAATTTCGAGAACTACAGGCTGAGTGACGTCATAAAAACTGCATAAGAACTCAATAAAATACGTATTAATATGGGCTATTGTTATTCCATTCAAGTGCTAAGTAAAAACGGAAGGAAGCCGTCTGCATTAGGTATCGGACTACAAGCACTAAACCCTTTTATAGTGCTTCAAATAGTGATTATGAATCATCTAGTGATCCTAGTAATTTAACAAAAATATGACAGTTTTTGTGGATTTCATTCTTTTGTCAGAAACTACTGAGTAGATTTGAATGAAATACGGCGCGGTGATAGATTGAGGATACACATAGGCTTTTTTATGACACATGCTGCTGGTAGAAGCTAGTAGTTGCTTTTAAATACTTATTCGTTGGTAGATACTGAGTCAAGATGGCTAGAGTGGTAGATTGGATGAATTGAATGATTGGATGCAGTTCGTTGCACTCAAATGGTTGAGATGAAGCTTGTATAATATATAATCCTAGTTTAATCGTAGGATTCGTAGGTTTAGTCAAATTATTAAGTTTTTCAGTAGAAAATTAAATGCTGTTTCGGTTTGTTAGGAATATTTTCCTCGATGCCAACAATGCAGTCTCTTTACCTATTTTAAAATTGCTGTAACATAAAATTTCTTCTACTTTGCAATAATTTTTTTCAATACACCTCGGAATTCTTAGACACCAAGGTTCAACTCCACATTAGTTCATCCGTCTGTTTGTCCGTTCCAGATTGAGAATGCAATTGAAACGAATGTAGGCGACATGTGACATCGTCTGAGGAAGGAGTTCAATTGATCGTAATGGGCCGCGCCCCTTCGCTCGGCATTGAATCCATATGCTCATTGCTATAGTGTCCCTTCTAGGTAAGGTTACTGGAGTTATCGTACAAATATAGGATGAGGTTGTATGCTACTTAGTAAATGGTGAAGTGTATTTTGCAGATCCCGAGTAATTTATTTTATTATTTTACATAAAAGAACGGTGAGGGTGTGTCCAAACTATGAGCTGAAACCCAGTTTTAAATGTTTAAGGCAAGCGGAGCAATTACTGAAATTAAAAACCATCTTTAATATCTATCTAATTGTACTCTTTCTTTATTTATTTTTAAAAGCCTGATTTTGTACTAAAATTATACCTAAGTATTAGGTTGGATTTTCAATAACAAGTTAATAATTAAATTATTTTGATATTTGATTGAAACCTAAAATAACTTCCCTGAATTGACGTAGGTACACCTCCCATGGAGTTGTAGCTACCTACATGTATACCAATTGTTTCCTTAAACATAAACTAATTGAGGTGGATACAGTATATATTAAAATTATCCAAATACAAGACTATCATATATATTGACGTCAATACAATATATCCTTTATTGAAAAATTCATATACATATATTAGTCTATACTCTATACTTTAATATTATAAAACTAAAGTTTGTTGAACGTGCTAAGCTCAGGAACTGCTGATTCGAGTTTATTATGATAGTCTACTTATACGCCTATATCAGCGGATAAAATAGCGCGGGAATATTATAGTTTTTTAATAAATATTTTATATTAATAAAAAATATAAATGAAAAATCACAATGATCTAGCAGCCCTGTACAAAACACGAAGGTGCCACGTATAAATGTGTACATGGAGCAAGCAAACTGTCAGTTTGTTTGTTGTAGACTGGTAGCGCCTGACATCCAGCCTCCGTCGCTGATACGTGTAGATATGAGGACCACGTGCTTAGAGGCGTACTAAGGTGATAGAACAACATATTATGATGATGATAGTCCACCAAGACGGCTGAATAGACTAAGGAGAGTTTGTGGTGCTTTAGATTTTGAATTTCGATTTAGTAAATTCATGCAAACAGTGTTTATTGCCCTTATTGCACCTAGATAAACAATAACTATTGTTTTTACTAGACTAGACGTTAAATAAGAAACTAAATCGGAACCTATTATGAAACATATGAGATTAAAATTTAACCTTGTTCCTACGTTATTTATGCAGACAGTTAAACAGTATACAATTCACCGTTCAGCTATTGAATTGAAAAAACCCCGTTTATATGTAACTTTAAATCTTTCAAGAAATCCCCTAGACTAGATTGTGAAACATTTTCCATGGCGTATAAGGTTAGACGCTTACTCAGAATTTTAAAAAGTGCGTAGGTACTTAACCACTCTTTCAATGACGTATGTAAAAAATTATGACGTCGGGTTTTTACCCTTCGATCATCTATGACGTATACTTAAAAAAAAACTATATGCATTCATAGAAATTAGATCTAGACAATGTGTTCTCATGCTATAATAACATTGACTATGTATTGCATGCATTATATAAGAATTAAGTTCATTAGATCATTACCAGACACATTGAGATATGTCAACAAGCAAATTATCAGTTTCCGAGAAAACCGGAGATTGGTCTTCATCTTAAAATTACATAAACTTATGTCTATTTGGGTGTACTCATGAAACACGGTCATTTAACTAATTCCGTACTAATATTTAATTAAGTGTATTTAGAATAAAATTTTCCGCGAATTTGTTTTAATAACGCCCGGGCTATCGTGGTAATCGCGTGGGCGATGTATTACACAGCGCTGTGAAACATTTTGTAAAGTAGTAAGATCGATTTATAAACAAAATGGATGTGTTAGTCAATCTTTACCTCGTCTTTTCCCTCCGAAGTATACCATACAACCATCTTCAATGTTAGTTTTCAACACTAAATGCTGTAATCACCATGTAACTGTAACTACAAACGTGCTAAATGTTAAATCAATCACAATCCAGACTCGTTACTTGAAATCAATAATCAATTTCATAGCCGAGTCCTTGGTTTAACACTGTTACTTTTTATGTCTATTAAATTATGTTCGTAATTGCCGTGATTTCGATAGGGATATCGTGTGTTCCGTCCGCGGCTACGTCCGAATGGCTACTGAAGTGACGAGTGTCTGAATGGCCGTGCCGCATGTCGGGACGTTGAATGTCCCCGGTCCCAACACCCGATTGGTGACACAATACGGCATTACAATAACAATGCTCGCGCTAAACAAAACAGTTTCCGGATGGTCGCGGTACTCGCGGTGTAACACATGAAATATTCTATTCTATACATTATTTATTTTTCAAGTACTTGGCAATTGAGACGAGAAAAAAAGTTGTTTGACTGGCAAAAGACAAATTTTCTGAATTATAGTAAAAAAAATTCTTTGTTAATAGAATGAACACTGACAACGTTTTCCAAACGCCTTTTATT